CCGAGACTCGACGTATGTGGAGGGCCAGGACCCTTTGCAGGGCAGACAACACAGCTCCCTCAGCACAGCTGATCGAGCCTCATCAACCAATGGCACAGCCTCCTGGGTTGAACACACTCCCTCAAACCGGAAACTGAGGTGGAGCTGGCGCAAGTTGCGCACAGACAAGCTGTGAAGCAAGCAAAAAAGGACAGAATAGCGGGTTTCATAGCTGAAGTTGACGCCAGCATAGCGGAGGGCGACCAACATATTTCGTTTCAAACCCTTAAAAAGCTGCAGCCTTGGCAGCCGGCGCGTCGGGCTCAGCTCAAGGACAGCACAGGACATCTTCTAGGCCCAGCGCAGGAGCTTGCGGCACTCAGGGAGTACGCGAACCAGGTTTTCGCGGCTCACCTCCCGCTGAGGCCAATGACTGGAGCTTTTCCGGTTTTGGAGTCATCCAAATTAGCCGCTCACATTCATTCCATCAAGCCTAACAAAGCTGTGCCTGACGGAGCTGCACCTGCTGCCATTTGGAGACTTTGCAGTGACGTCATTGCACCGGTCCTTTCCCGACATGTGGCTGCTAAACAAGTAGAGGATGGACTAGAATCTGATCTCATCGACGCAGATCTGTGTCTAATCCCCAAACCTGGCAAGCCTTCGGACAAGCCAGCAAACTTGCGTCCTTTGGGCATTTTGAGACCGGATGCTAAAGGACTGGCTGGAGCGGCAAGAGAGGCGCTACAACCCCTGACCCTCTCGTTCCTAAAACACATGCCACAGTTTGCCTACCTTCCTGGTCGTGGGCTTTCAGATGCGCTGGAACGAGTCGTGTGCCATCTGCGGGAGGCTCGGTCTTTGTTGGAGCAGGCTCATCCTACGAGACATGCTATACAGCAAGGCACACAGGTGCCATCTCTAGTAGGCGGTCTGACCTTTGCTTTAGACCTAAGCCAGGCGTTTGACACAGTCTCTCGCCAAGAGATTATCGGTCTCCTTCAGCGTGAGGGGGCCGATCAGGACACAGTCCACCTCGTTCAAGCTCTCCATGACGGATCCAGATACGTCTTACATGCCCAAGGCGATTCCACTTCTATCGAAACCACAGCAGGCATTAAACAAGGATGTAAGCTCGCTCCCACCCTATTCTCGTTCCTCACAGGTGACCTCTTCCGGTCTCTGGTGGATCTGTTCGGTGCTGAACAGGTTCTGAAGTTTTTAACGGGCTACGCCGATGACCTGACGCTTCATAGGACTATTCGTTCTGAGAAGGACCTCAAGGCCATCCATGCACTTATAGCTGCCCTGTTGGAGGAGGTCCGCAAACATCGACTCAGAGTCAACATCGGCAAGTGCGTCATTTTGGTAAAGCTGGCAGGTAGAGAAGCACAAAATGTGATGAACAAACACAGCTGCTGGATTACCAACCCCAAAGGAGAGCCAGTCAGAGGGTGGCGCATCGGGCCCAACAAGTCGTTCCCTGCCTTCCAGTGGGTCTCCTCAAGCAAGTACTTAGGAGTTATGATCTCCTACAACCACTTCGAGTTGCAGACTCTGCATTTTCGGATGGGGGAGGCGAAGCAAAAGTTGCATCAAGTTCGCCAATTCGTCTACAACCGCAGGTATGCAAGTACCATGTCGCGCCTTAAGGTGTGGCAGAGTACTGTCCTGGGCACCTTGACGACTGGCCTATCTGACGTCGGTTTAAGCGAAGAGTCGGCCAAACAGCTTCGCAGCTGGCACGCCTACAAGGTACGATCGGTGCTGAACCTGCCGGCTCACACCACTCGGATCACCACTAAGGATCTTTTCCAGCTCTACAACATCCAGGACCCTGTCCACGCACTGCAGTCCAAGCTAAGGAAGCGGCTTCGCAAACTGGAGCGACGAGCAGTGCAAAGCCCGGACATCACGACAGACCCCTCGGTTCTGCAGGTTATCCGAGATAAGCTGTTGGTCCTGTCACAACTCCCTGAGCCCGAGGAACATCCGGTAACCTCATACGAGTGCGCGCTCTGCGCGGCTTCATTTGAGACTGCAAATGGACTACATTTGCATAAGTCGAGGGTTCATCCGGCGAGCATTGACCGCTTTGTGCCTTCAAGCTTCGATAGAAAGCTCCACGCTGTGGATGGGATGCCGCAATGTGCGGCATGTAAGCGTAAATTCCATCAATGGAAAGGCCTACGTGACCACTTGCTTTCGGGGGCATGTCCGGAACCTCAGAAGCTCCGTTCACTAAAAGAAGCAGACAAACAGTCCAACCATCCCGATATTAGGACTCTCTTCCAGCTGAGACAGGACATTGCTCTGCTCCCACAACACCGCATCGCGGAGCTCTCGAGGACTGCGGATTCCAAGGTCCTTAATCATCGGTGCTTAACGTGTGACTTCTGGACTTTTGACCACACCAAAGTCAAGTCGCACTTTCGTCAGGCGCATCCTAAGGACTGGTCACGCCTACACAGGCGGGCTGTTAATATCTGTCAGGGCTACTCGCCCCAGTTAGCCAAGGGCCACTCATGTCCCTTCTGTGGCTACAAGGTCTATGACCGCAGACTGCATCCGGAGCAGTGTCCGGTGCTCTATCAGGTAAGCACGCAGTGGCTGCGAGGGCAGCCTGACGCGGACGTCGATCCCGTCGCCCCGCCTCCCAAGCCTCAGACTAAGTCGTTGGCCAGCTTTTTTAGACCTAGGTCGAATGGCACAGCCTCCAACTCGTCGAGCACAGCTCGTCATCCTACAACAGACTCGAACCAGGAGTCTGTGACGCAGGCCCCCAGGAACACAGAGCCACAGCCTACAGGCTTACACAAACGCGTACTGTCTAACACGGCAAACTCCTGCTACGCTAACGCTCTCTTCCAGGCCTTGCATCAAGTATCGAGCTTTGGGTATGATCTGGGTGCTTTTCAATCTGTCTTAACCCATCTCGGGGATGAGTGCGCCCCTAGACTTCTGAACTTGTTCGGCCTGTTTGCATTTCGCCATGCCATTGCCGGTTGGCGACTGGATGGCAGGCAACACGATGTCTCAGAATTTCTTCACCATCTGCAGCAAAAGCCCATGGGATCCCTTCAGCACACTCAGTGGCAGGGTCGTACTGGGGGAATCGTTGAGGAGTCGGATGTGGGAGTCAGTCCTCTTCTCCTTCCCCTTCCGACGGGACCTCTGTCTCTCCAAGCCTGCCTAAGACTCTGGGAATCGCAAACTTTTAGTCGAGCGCTGGTATGGGCCCCAGAACTCCTAGCTGTTGTGATTTGCAGATGGCAAGACGGGGTCAAGAATACCCAGCCGTGCGCCTGGACCGGCCGTGCCATGGTGTCCGTGTGGACATCCAGCGAGCACACTGCCCAACGATCCTACCAAGTCCTGGCAGGAGTTGCCCACTTTGGGGACTCCCTAGCGTCCGGGCACTACCGAGCCTTCTGGCCAGAGGTCCCCGCGGATGCGAGATCTCAGGTGTGGATTTGCGACGACTACAAGCTTCCGGAGAGGGCCCCAGCGGCCTTGGTTCAATCACTTTCCCGAAACGTCTACATGCTTTTCTTGCAACGAACTCGTTAGCATCATCGCTTCAGGCGATGCATGCCGGCCCAACCTCGGCCTTCAGGGCTAAGCAGGGCGCCCGTGCGTGAGAAGCCTGTAGTCAATTTCATGTTGACGCAGGCCGCCTCACGTCAAGGCCAAGTGTGTCATGAGTGCACGCGGACATGCACACTCTGTAATTTCCCTCCTCCCAATCAGCTCTTTTTATTTAGTCAGCTTCCCCCCAGCTCCCTTTGGCCGTCATGACTGCCTCGCCTGCTACTGCCAAGAGCCCGGAGCACAAGCATCTGTCGCAGCCGGGTTGAAATGATAACAGAAGGCAAAAGTTGCCATCGTTGTCAACCCTTCCGCCTCAAGCTTCGCGATGCTCTCATCCGACACCCCAATGTCTTTGGCTCGCGCCTTGAAGACTGCCGCGCTCTCATTAAAGGACATGGCTCCTAGTGCTAGATTCACTCAAGATCAGACTAGGGCCCAGCACGCCTTGCAATCACTTTTAGCGTCGGCGAGAATGCCGCTCCCTAGCGCGCCACTTTTTAGTCCAGCTTAGTGCTGAATTGCTCTTGCCCCAATATGGGCGCTTAGGCTCAGCACCCATTTTAGTACGGGAGCAATTAGAAAATGTCACAGACTCCTCAAATCCCGTATGGCACAGCCTCTGGGAATTCGGTGCTCTTCCGACGCTTTTGCAAATCTCTTCGGGAGCTGTAGAGCAGCGCGCTAGCCACGGCAAAATGCAGGACACTGCACTTCGCCTGAGCCGATATGGTCAGTCAGCTGTCGGCTGTTTGACTCACTCAGCTCTGCAGGAAACCTACCCAGAATAACGGATGCAGTCCGAGGAAAGCCAAGAGCATGAGCGTCGCTTATTGGGGGGTAGTCACGACAAGCACTCCGAGTCGTATGTAGGTTTACGCACATGTGATCCTTACGGCCTTCTGTCTCCAGCATGAGTAATCCGTGTGGGACGTCACAAGACGGATACTCTAGGCGCCGGCTTCGCCCGAAGTACGACCTAATTGCTGGGACAGGTGCACAGACGGACGCGTCTGTTCACAACAAGGTGGCGGAGGAGGAAGCCATAGATGTACAGTCTTACTCAACTGAGCAGTCTGAGAGGAATATGAGCGATGAATGCTAGCAGATAACCAGTTTCACGAGTGCACGGGACCAAAGGCGCCCGCAAAGCGCAGAGCACGCTCGCGCAGCGTTCAATTGAAAAATTGTAGAATGCATAGTAGTAGCAGCAGTAGCAGCAGCAGTGGTAGTAGCACTCGTCGCGCGGCTGCTGCTGCTGCTGCTACTAGTCATACTGCCGAGCGGTCACTAGCATGCTCAGTACCTCACAGCCACTACCTGGCACTACCTTACTGCTCCTGGTGTTGCTGCCCTTGCTAGCACCGGCGTGCCTGGCTTGGCGCTCATGCAAACTTGGACATACAAACATGAACATCGCACGAGGGCTCGGCCTCAGGGTTTTGTTGACAGACCTTGGTGCACAGTATGGCATTGAACAGATCGACACAGAGACTTTGACTGTTTTTTCTCTTTCTCGGCCGTTTCCGCGCTTCCTCGTGTGCAACTACAGCCGGTGGCTGTCTAGGAACCAGCTGCTGGATTCCAGATGCGCCTGTAAGTGCAGGCGTTGATAAGAAGAGAGACCACAGATTCAGACAGCTCTGCAGGCTGAAGCACGTGCATGCCTTGCCTAATGCTCTGCTTCCTAAAAACAGTCAACCCACGATGAAGGATGTGGATGCTTTACCCGTCACCTGGAACAGAGCTTCTCTGAACAAGAGTGCAGAAATGTTGAGTAGTGGACGCCTGCAAGATGTCCATGTGAGCAACTCCGACCACGAGCTGTCCTAATCTGAACGAACAACTCTAGTCTGCCTCTCGCGGATTCAGCGTCAGCTTCGCGTCAATGAGTCTTGCCTCCGTGCTCGGACCATTAACCGCAAATACACGCACGGAGAATGAACTGTTCGCAAGCTGCGAGACATGTCATCCCACCATCATGTTCTCAACCATCATATTCCAACATTGGCTACAGCACTGCACGGTTTGCAATATGCACAGGTCACTAGAAGCAGACAAGGTGCTGTTCAACATGTCGCGAGCCATTGCTTTGACCTTGCCAGTGTCTCCAGGATTGTCCTGCGCACACTTCTGCAGGTCGTCGGCGTCACGGTAGGCTTGATCCTTCGGCAGCACAGCGTAAAAACTGCAGTTTGTGCTAGCAGACTTGCACTCAACAGTTGCATGGTCTTGGATTTCTAGTTTGGCGTTGTCATGCTCCTAGGACTTGACTGTGTGAGGATCTGGGTGGCGGTCCCTGTCGACGCGCAGTGGCCCTCGAATGCACATGGTGCGTGTTTTTCCTGAGATGATTGACAAGCATCTTCTGGATGATGGCCATGCAAGTATCTGCAAAGGACATGAACCGGATCCGAGTAGCCATCGTGGTTGTGAACAGCTCCTGACTTTGGAACCTGGATCTCAGCCCGCCAGGTCCGCTCGCCGGTACTTTGGCGCGCTTTGCTTTCAACCACTGTGGACTTGTTCACCTGTTCAGGTCCAGGAGTCGCTGACTTCTTACAAGTGTTTTTAAGCTTTAGCGGAAGCTGTTTCATGACCTATGAGAAGGACCTTCCTGTTTCATTGCTTTTGGCCACATGCTCTTATGGCTGAAGATGCTCTTCATTCGGCCTTGGCCACCGAGGTCGTCGTGGCTTTTGCAGCCGTCGTCGTTTGTTCTGCTACTATGGCTGCTGCTGCTGCTGCTGCTGTGGCAGCGGTGGAGGCTGCGGGGCAGTGGTGGCAGTCATGGTGATCGTTACTGTCGCTGTCGTTGTCGTCGCCGTTGTCCTTGTTGTTGTGGCTGTGGTTGTTGTAGGTGTTGGTGCTGCTTTTGCTGCTGTTGCTGTTTTTGTTATTTTGGTTGTTGTTGTTGTTGCTGCTGCCGATGCTGTTGCTATTACTGTTGCTGCGGTTGGCACTACAAAAACCAAGCGATGATTACATGGTTTCAGCCGCTAGGATAGACGGACTCAAGCAACCCCCGAAAGATGAGCCACCACCTTGGGCGCCGTGAAATAAAGACTTCTGACCTTCCATCTTCGCTTCGTTATCCGCAAGCAGGCGCGACAAAGCCTCCACCTCTCCATCTGCATCCTTTCCATCCTCAGTGCCCGGTGCATGCCGCAGGCAAACCCGAGTGTCAAGCTTGGTAGGAAAGCCAGGTCAGCCAGATGCAGCGAAGATGCCGGTGAAGCCGCTTTTCTGCCATTGTCTTTCTTCGGGGATGGTGATCTTCGTCTTGGAGGCGATCGCGGCGAACTGTGGCGCCGGGGCGGCGAGCGCTTGCGCGAGTCCCGTCTGCGTGCGGGGGACCGCCGACGCGACGGTGTGCGCCGGGAGTCCGAGCGACGCCGCGCCCGTCCTGACCTGGATCGCGACGGGTCAAAGCGCGGCATTTCTGGCAAAAGGGTGCCCGGTGATGCTGCAGATGTTCTGTATACTACATATTCTATACAGGACCGAGAGGTCTCGTGTATGCAGTGGACTGTGGCTACACGGTCCTGCATACAAGATCCATACAACCGTGATCCGGCTTCTCAAATGGCCTAGCTCGCTCGCTGCTCGAGCCACGACTTTGGCACTCGAATGATGCGAGCCACTCGATTCGACCATTTACCACATCAGGATCTGAAACCAAACTGCTGCATACTGACAAATGCTACATGAAACAGCAGTGATGCAACTTGCTCCAGGACTCCACGTGTCATGTGCTCGTTGGCAGATGATAGGTTTGAATAAGCTGGCACATCTCGAGCTCCGGGCTCTGGATGGATTGAGGCATTGACCTGGCACGTGGACTTGGTGGGGTTTGCATCAGTTTTTCCTTGCTTGGCTGCGTTCTTAGGGCGTCAATGAGGCAGCCTGTGGAGTGTCCGTCTCTACATAAACGTCAAGCTTAGGTGGCGTGAGGTCCAGTCAGCCGTGCATGTCATCGAAGTACTCTGCTGACAAGCCCAAGCCTGAATGGTTAAAGAGCATTAAGCTAAACCCTGCAAGAAACTTGTGGTCCAACCTGCGCGCTCGTGACGATCCGCCTGACCTTGCAAATTCTGCGAAACTTGCGGACTGCTGCAAGATCGTCTGTACCAAAGGCTGCCGTGTCAAGCCAGGCAGGCTGTATTTCTGCCGGCAAGCCACAGAACTCTGGATTCGTTGTCGCATGTCCTCCTGCAAGAAGGCTATGCAAGGCCTGGAGTCTTGACGTCTTTGTTCCATGCAGCCTGTAATTCTGTCCTCTGCATCTGCTGCGGGGTTGATCTCTCGGACTCGGCACAGGATGCTAGAGCTACTGTCGTCGCAGGGTGAGCAGCGCATGATCTTTACATCGCATCTTCGACCAAACTCAGCCTAGGGAATGAACCTGCCGGTCCCGGGCTGGAGAGCAAGATGTGTGGAGAGCCTCAGGTTGAAGCCCTTCGAGGACTCTAGGAGTCATCCGCGATTCTAGGAGCCATCCACCCGGACATAACATGCACAAGCTAAGGTTCGGGCTCAGCGGAACTCGCAAACTGCCATGCAGGGCACCTGGGACATCCACTTCTCTTCTCCGTTACTGCTTGCCTCCGAACATTTTTACTCGACACGGATGCAGCGGCCAACCTGACACGGGCGCTTGCAGGCTACCAGCCAGCTGTCCTGCGAGCTTGTCTCCAAGTTTGGCTGCATGTTGCGTGCTTTCGACGCTCACTGAATTCGATTGTGCCACAAGGCAACAATGCAACCGCTTAGATTTTTGGAGGTGAGGAGGCACTCACCCTCCTGGCCGCAAAGCCAAGTGACAGAACAAGTGAGGAGTGTCCTGCTGTGCCCACAGGCGCGCTGAACGTGCCAGCCAATCCAGCTAAGCCTTGCAACAGACACAAGAGCATGCACGGTGCAGGGGTTTGTCGACAACGGCTGTTGAAATGCTGCCGACGCGAACAGCATGACAAGTCGAAACGGCAAGTTCTGCCAGCCTACGGAACTATCTACCCACGCATGATTTACGACATGCAGTGCTGGCTTCCCTGCCTCCAGGTGGCACTTGTGCAGAGCCCGTGAGCAAGAACCTGCGTCTGCCAGGCGGCTGAGCATGCCCCGTATCGTCGCATCAGCAGACTTAGGACGGAACTGTGGCGCAAACGCCCAACTCGAGCGTCCTCTGCGGTCCAAGCAGAGAAGCCGCTCGCAGATCTCTCGGCCGAAGCCATGCTGCCCTGTGCCTTCGCCATTGTTCGTTGCATGACCTGTCTGCAGCACAAGCCGAAGTGTTTGAGGGACGTTCACCAGCCCGCCTTTCTGATTTGGTTGGTCATGCTCTTGCCAAAATGCTTGGCCTTCGGACTTCGCTCAATAGCAGCTGGAGAATCTTAAAGCGTCAGCTCTGTGGCTCTCCCCGTCTAACTATCGCAACCCAATGCTCATGTAAGGAGACCACTTTCCATCACCATGGCTCTCTCGGCCGAACGGGGGTCCAAGTTCTCCTTCGCGGTATTTGCAGACCATTGACGAGCAACATTCAGCCAGTCTGTGGAACATGGCTACTTCACGCTTCACATAACATGAGCATCCAAAGCTGGTGTGTGTGTGTGTGTGTGTGCGCGAATTTGTTTGAAAAGATCCTCTTAGCAACAAGCTAAGCCGGGAACCTGAAAGCACCAAACCCGTCAAGCAAAGTGCTCTTGTCTGCAACCCTTTGTGCCGGAGGTTGTGCAGGCCTTTCGTGCTTGTCCTCCTTTCGGGTTGCCTCTCCTGCCTTCTCATTCTACATAGATTCATAGACTCTGCACCAAACTAAACGAGAACCCAACTCCAGGGTTAACATGACACATGAACAAGCCACAAGAGAACCATGCAGGCAACAAGATGTGGATTACACAGCACCCACACCCCGGAAAAGGAGGTCAAGAGTCTAACCACAAAGCGACGCCTACCAGAAACAAACAACACCAGAATCACAGAATCACTCTACTCTTGAAAAGACGACCATGCCGTGCAACGACAAGCGGCGGAACCGGCTGCAACTGCAAGCGAATCAACAGCTCAACCAGAGCAATCGTCGAGTGGAACTTCTCGCTTTTTCTAGCTTGGTGTTGGTTCCCTCTTTCGCCCAAACAAGGCCAGGCCATCAGCATCGCACGGGCGGTGCAAAACATAATCGTTGGTGGGAGGCAGCGGCTGAGCTGCTAGATTTCAACAACTTTCATTGGGACACCCTGAGAGATCTCAGCAAAAAAGAGGCTGGTGCTACGAACACTGAACCAATCAACGTCTCTCGTTTTCGCAACAGCAGCAGCCCATGTCAGGCCGGCGAAATACTACTCTGCTGCGGGCGGTGTGGTGTCGCTGCTGCTGATGTTCCGCCGATGGCGTCGAGTCACTACGTTTACAAGTGCAGCTATTGCTACAGTTCCTGCGCTGCTGACTTCCAGCCGTCTTTGGCTACCAGACAGCCTAGTCTTTGGCGTTCGCAGATTCTTTGCTTTTCTTGACATGGACAAGTAAGTCTTCCGCAAAGCAAGCTGGAGCCGCCAGAGCTGCCTAATGCCCTCTGCTTCGATGTGCCAATGGCCCAGTACCGACAAACAACATCCACAAGGGGGTCATCCCCATCTTTGCCTCGTCTTCGACCAAGCACTTTTGGCCTGGCTCGCTGAGGAACCTGGCGATGGCAAAGAGAAATGGGATTCACGATCGCACGATGTCGCACGTCCTGGACTCGTACGCAACTCGTCGTCCAGTGGAAGGCATGTCTTGGAACTGTTATGGACAGGCCCGTAAAAGCCCCACGGCTCTGTAATTACAGGGCTGCAGCTCTTCCTGCAGGCTGTGGTTCTGACGAGGAGCGAAGCCATCTTGCTGGAGAAGAATGACTCGCATTTTTCCAACTGCTTCATGCCCTCAGATGTATCGGATCGGATGCAGAGCAGGTGACAATTTTTGGAGCCTCTGAGGTCCAGGCGTTGCCGCTTCCACTGGCAAAACGAGTGCTATCAGGCTGACTACTACTTCTCGTAAATTGGAGTCGATTTAAAGAGTCTGTTAATTACTTTCAATGCTGCGGCTCATTCCGCTCATAGTTGCTCGCTTTGAGGGTCTGGCAGTGGTGCGTCTCTGCATGTGTAGTGCAAGGAGCTTCTGATGCCGCTTTCCCGTCTCCTCTACTCGCAGATGGCACGGATCCACAGCTGCCTTTTCACCAGCGACGACATGAGGAACTCACACCTTGAAGAGGCCGGTCAAACGGTCAGCGTCCTTCACATGGTCAAACCCATCGGGAGCTTGTCTATGAGCAACTTAACAGCTAGAGAAGCACAAACAGCTTCCAAGCCGCGCTTCAGTCTGGACCCCGACAGAACCTACCCGGCCTGCGGTGGCAAGATGAGGCCAAAGTACTGCCCTGGCTTCCTGTTTCCTCCGTTGCTTTTGTTTCTGGATCGCCGTGCCAAAATCATGCAGTCGCAAGTATGTGCAACGAAGGCAGCCAGGGAACGGAGAAGATGCAGTGCTTGGAATGCAAGCTTGGGCATCCTGCTCAAGCTCACAACACCTGAAGCAACAGGTGCAGCTAACCCACACAACATTGGTCTTCTTAGCACTTTGGCCGCAAGATGTCGCAGGTCTGCTGTCTCCTTTGACCAACCCAGAGCTACCCTGGCCTTTGTTGTTCAAGCCTCGCGGTCGCTGATCATCAGTCGACACCAGCCGGTCAATCGGAATGTCGGCGAACTGCCACAGAGCCAAGCCAGCAATCTTCGGGTTTGTGAACACGGAGAGATAGTGCATCTGCATCAGGAGACCTTTGGACCAGGAGTGAACCGATAAAACACACGGTGGCCGGTGCCTCCCTTGCACATGGATGGCTCCCATCTGGCATTAGCAACTTGATGATTTCGGGTCGGCTTTGGAGTAGGGTTACGAGCATACCATGGCGGCCCACATTCAAGTGCAACTGCAGTCACCGGATGTCGAAGCTATGTGGAATCACGATACATGGCTGCCCAACTAATATTCAAGAGAAGCGGAACCTTGCTCTTAGCGGCCGAAGCGCTCTGAAATTCTTCAGTCCACTTCTCCTCTGTAGGTCCGTGATGTCCGAAAAGACCGCCTGCCCCAGCCTGTTTGAGCACATACTTGCAGCACCTGAGGCCCTCTTCTCCCGGAAGGCTTCGGAGCAGTCAAGCCCAACCCTGACAACCACAAACAACTCGCCACCGGAAGAAGGCGAGCTTTCTCCCACCTCTGTGATAAGAAGGGGCTTGCTTGGGAAGTTCTCCTCCACGAACCGGGCATAGGCCTCAGACCAGACACACACCAGAACGAGCTGACTGTCGAATCTATCAGTCGGATCTTCATCACGCTATCATGGTCCGTCAGCCAGCATGATGAGGCCTCCCATATCAGCGGTATCTCCTTCACCTCGTCCAAATCACCAGGTGCCGTTGTCGGATACCAGGCAGGGTAGTGGTGAAAAGAGCATACATCAGCAAATTGCAAGTACCTGCGACCACCAAGGCCAACGGCGGAGTCAGGATGCGATGCTGCTGCTCACGGTGCGTCGGATTGGATGGCGGATCCCCGCGTACGAGCCGCCATCCCTTTGTAATCTGCCCATATCCAGAACTACAAGCGCCTCCCTCCCAACTCTAACTCTGTCCAAATCCAGCACTACATGACTTATATGAATGAAACCTTTCATTGTTTAAGCACGTTTCCGTTCCTGCTCGTTTCTGTCCTCTTGCGGTTCCCTTTGGGATTTCCCAGCCGTTTATCCAGTTTGTGGTGTTCCGTTTGGAAGCTCTCTTTCGTTTACTCCTCCGTTCTGGTTTCCGAACCCGCAGACACTGTCTGGGGTTATTCGGCCTGGCGCGGAAAAGAAATCCGAAACGCGCGCGACACCTGCAAACAAACAAACAGGACCGGAAACCCGGCAACATGCCCGCCTAACGGAGCCTCTGGCCTGGGTTTGGACTCTCGCAACTCGGACTCTGCCTGGGTTTACGCTCTCGCAACTCGGACACAGCCAGACGAGGGTCTGAGCATCAGCTTCTTTTCCAAACCTACACAGAAGCGGAAGACACTGCAAGGATAAACGGGAAGCGGAACGGAAGCAAAATTCACAGAACTCCGAACGGCACCGAACAAACTCAAATGGATATCGGGATGGAAGCGAGAACGGAAGGCTGCGGCCAAACGGAAAGCAACGCAGAAGCATAAATGTCTGGTTGCCCGCGTGAACACCTACATGGTTCCTAGTTGCACCCTGCTCAAATCCAAGTAGGAGCCCCTCCCTCTACACTGATTCGCTGCCCAAGTGCAGGAACACGAGACCCCCCTGCTGAAATCCAGGAGACAGAAACTTGTGCACCCAATGCAAGGAACAGCTCTAAGCGAAGGCTCCCCGAATCGTCGTACGCATGTGCCGTCTCTCTGTTGTTGAATGCCCAGGCGGCCTGTCGGCGATGGTCGTCGAAGAGCCCCAGCTAACAAGGCGGGTGCCGCGTGACTTCTCACGAAGGCGGTTTGCCATGCCTCGGCAGACTAAGCAGTGAACATCAATGAACCCAACACACTCCGACTTGAGCTCGGAGCCACGATAGGCTGCTTCTGTCGCGGGACTCGGATCATCAGATCTTCCTTGCAGAGTGCCGGTGCCTCCTGGTAGTTGTAGCCATACTCTTGCTCATCCAGCGGCGTGCCTTCATTGAAGAAACCAAAGAAGATCACGGACCTGAATTCCGTACAGCGATTGGCTCATGCGTTGCGGCGCAGCCTCTCATCATCCCAGTTGCTTTCGAGCTGCGGGTGGTTCACTGATGCGGCTGCCATCTCATCCGCCAGCTTCAAGCTCTGCATCATGAAAATGCCATCAGCAAAGTCCTGCTGAGTGGACATTGAAATCTTCGTTGCAGATCAGACTCGACCTCTCAGGATTCTGCACACATCTTCAACAGCTTCGTCCTTGGGGGTGTTCTGCCAGCCCAGCACTTCTTCCCAAACCTGTGACCATCTGAGGCTTCCGGCCACAGTACCGTCGCATCGCAATCCCCGGGAGCCAGGCCAACAAGCCATTCTCGTCACACAGGTCCAGGAATCTCTGGTCTTGTGCGTAGTGGGCCTTGTATGTGGCAGCTGGTAGCATGATTCTCATTGTGGCGGTCTTGCCGAATCCGGCTACAACGACCGGGGGGTCGAACAAGTGCCCGAAAGCTTTGGACTCTGGAGGTTGCTGTCCAACCAGTTGGTGCGGCTTCCCGGTAGTATTGTGGGGAAGCAAAGCGCCTTGCCCAAGCAGAGACACGATGGCTTTAATCCCCTGTGTGAAATCGGCATGGGGACCGTGTTTCATGGGACCACCAGTATCTAACTGTATCTTCTGCAGGTTGCAAACGGGCTGAGGTAGGGCTCATGCTGCCAGATGTATGCTGGGCATTCGCGGCTTTAACTAAAAAGGTGATACTTGCACGAATGTCCTGTGTGTAACCTGCCACAAGATGTGGACTTTCGTTGGAAGCAGGCTGATGTTTGCTGCTGGCGATGGGGTGTATGTACCTCATGCCAGGCTGCTCCTCTCACGAAGTTTGCGCCGACATCCCGCATTAATTGGATGTCGCGGACTAGCTCCTGGTGTGAGAGGACAGGGCTGGCAACCAAATCATGGCGATTGAAGCCGAACAACCTTAGCCCAAGCTCTGCTGCAACAACGCTGCTTGGACGGAGCCATAAGCGCAAGAGCGCATTACAAGCCCTAGAAGGTATTGCTGTCGAGAGTCTTCAGCGGTTGTCCATTCAGCAGAATGTCTCTGCCGGATGTGCTGACACGGCGGAGACCAAAACGCACTTCAACGCAGTCGAGCAGTTGGCCGGAAGAGAGGAGCGCGACCTGCACAGACACCATCTTTCGCACGCTGCGCAACGCCGCAGCCCAGAGATGTGGGACTGCTTCACAGTGCCATCATCTCACACGCAGGGAAACGACAAATCATGCTTTCAAGAACGAGGGCCTTCAAACGATGCAGCTCGGGATTCTGAGGTGACCAGCTGCGTGCATTGGGCACCGATACATTGCGTGAAGCAGTCTCCAATATGACAGTCGGCCAGCTTGCCCAATCACAGCCTTTCCAAGCTCGCGACAAGCTCTACACATCAAGCTAATCTACGTAATCAACACTCGTTTCGTCGAGCCTTGGTGTGGATCATCAAAACGCCACCGATACTGCAAGCCTCAAGCCAGATGCTGACATGTCAGAACACAGATGCGTCAAACGTTGGGCTGCAGTTACTGAGGAGTGCAGTTGGAGAACCCGAAACCTGGCCTTGGGCAGAAGGAGTGCCGACAACTGTTCGCACATCCACATCCACATGCTCCAGTGTCCTCAATTGCCACAGTCTTAAGGTATCACGGCACTGATATTATAGATGGTGAGACATAGAGTAGAGATTCTCGCACTGAATGCTGCTGCAGCTCCCCTCAGTCTAAAATCGTCAGAGCCAGGAGGCGTTGGAAAGACGTCGACGGCGGCCAAGTAGGTGAGTTCTGGGCCCGGGCCCGGGAGGCTCTGAAACTGCACAGCCCGCAGCAGGCCGCCTCTCGAATCCAAACGTCCCAAGATGTCCCAAGCTGAGAGGACGGAAGAGGCCTGAGGCCTCCCTCTCCTTCTCGCCTTCTCGCCTTCTCTCCCTCCCTCGGTTCGCTGTCTCTGTTCGCTCGGCCTCCCTGGTACCAATCGTACTTGATCTGATGCACCGGATGAGTGACAGGGTCGAAGCGGTTGTCCACCAAGACGGTGATAGAACGAAGCCTGAGAGCGACTGTGGAACAGTGCCACCAGACCAGACGACTGCAACCAATACTGCATTTCTGCTTTTGGGCGCTGTGCTGTCGCTCGGCGCCGGTCACAGGAACGCTGAAGGGCGATAGACCGCTGTGATCAGCCAGCACCACACCGTCCACGGCCACGAGGCAGCGCAGCGCGCCTTGCGACGACAGTCCGCAGTCAGCTACAGGAAGCTGCTGGCACTCGTGCGCCAGTTGGTATGAGATGAGCCACAAGCTCCGAAGAGGAGGACGGCCGACGTGTTGAAGGCGACCTGGCGGCTACTTCGGACCGCTTCTTCAACCATGTCGCACCGTAACTTTTGTAAAGCAGCTTCGTGAACATGGTCGAGATTTCACCACGTGCATGCATCGGTATGGCTAAACTTAAACGGCGCAACATGGAACAACGAAACGGACCGGTCTGCGGGACCATCTCTGTCCGAAGAGCGAAGGTCATACTCCAGGCACCATCTCAGACCCGAGACAGCACAATGCAGGGCAATTTTTTGCCCTACGATTGATCAGAGATTTGGGAGCTTCCGCAAATAGGGGACCCTAATATAGTACCCTAATTAGTACCTGGACCTTCCTTTGGTATCTTTATTTCGATCCTTTGGGGTTTTGTTATGGAATCTCTCTGATGCGGTCACTTTTGAAAGATCGGCCATAAATCCTCTAAAGCGGCCATATTCTATAAATCCGACTTCCGAGTGCGATGCCGAAACATTTTCAGCATCAAACTGAACCGTTTCCATATTATCGACCCCGAGGTCAGCCTGTGCATGTTTGTTTGTGTATGCGTGCCCAGCCTCGCCAGAAAGTACCTCAATTGATGCCAGGTCACAACATGGGCAGTTGCATTTGGCATCGACTTCAAGGTCGGACTGGCTTGTCTTCAACTTATGCATTCGCGATTGAGAAGTGGCATGCTCATGCATATCGGGGATTTCTCCAGGCTCCAATGTCCAGGGAGTTTTCGAGGCATGTCATGTGCAACAATGAGCGATCAATCTAGCACTTTTACATGTGCAGTGGTAGAAGATGGACTCTTCTGATGGTGCTGCCATGGCAAGCGCCCCTTCGGCCCCTTCGTGCCCTGTGCTTTCGGCATGGGCAAAGAGCACTGTGGTGATGTCCCAGCTTTTGAAGGATAAGCTTGTTATCCTGCAATACCCCACCTTGTCCAGAGCCTCTTTGTCTGACAATGTGGACCTCTTGGCTCCCGTGATCAATCTCCTGGGAATCTTGATTCAAACTATACTGGCACTAGTGACTCCTGTAACCGATAACCTGTCCCCATCCCAGGATTGCGTCCAACTGTGCCCGGCATCAGCGAGCTCCTGCGGAGGTTTTACCACAACAACCTACCACTGTCTCGAAAGGCACCAGCAGGCAAGCATCCAAACCGAGCATCATGAATCATGAGCATTACCATGCCAGCACACATTGACATATATATGTCTGTCAGGCTCAGAGCTGCAGGCCCAGGCTTGGATTATCAGAAATCTGATCACGATCTTCGCCAAAGTGGCGAAACGACCGCATCGGCCAAGATGTGCGGGGGTTCGCAGCCTTTTCGCCCAGTCGGGGATACCTGTGCCCGCAAGCACCTAGCCTCTGATTCAAATTTATAATGCTAAACCTAGCTAGCTAATACCCTAAAATTAGGCCTAGAACCCCCAGCCCCAAATGCCATCCGAGGTGGTACATCGAGTGTCGCCGATGATGGCGAGGAGTCCTGCGACGAGAGCGTGGACATGTCCGATGAGGATGATGAAGGGGGGGAGTCTGAAGCAGCTTCGGACGATATGGAGATTGAGGATGATGGTTTGTCTGCTCCGGCTGCCGATGAGAACCCATCGATAGCCCTGCATGCCTCAGCAGAAGCCTCAAAAGCCCCAGCCCCCGTGGCAGCTGAAGCTTGGTTGAATGTAGTTAATTATCGAATACATATGCATGCTGCTGTGTCGTGCCTGAAGCCCGAAGCCCCAAGCTGCCTAGGAAACGGATGCCGGGAAAGTTCCAAAGCTCCTGTTGCCAGGCCATATTCGATCTGTATACGATTCCGAACAATTGGGAAATAAGAACGACCAACCCACAGGTGTTGCTGCTCGGGCTACACCATCGGAGTCCTCCTCTTCGTCGCTTGTGGTGACACCACCTCCCAAAGGCTTCCCGGTGGCACCCGAGATGTATTGAGATTTATATTAACATGAATTTCCGAGGTTTGCCACTCTCCCCTCAGAGTGAGGCAAAGCTACGTGGGAAGCACTACTTTGTCAAAGACAGGGTCTACGGGCACATCTGCTTGAACTGCAGTTGTTGCAATCAAGACCTAGAGGTTCTGAAGTCATTCAAGTGCGAGCCACCCAAGGGTTCCGAAGCTAGGGTTGAGGCGGCAGATGCAGCTGAGCTTGAGTTGGAGAAGCTACGAGACCTCGAAGCCGAGGGCCTTCAGCTTCAGGAGCTGCTTTCGTTTGAACAGCAGCAGCTTGAAGATATGATGATACAGGCCGAGATCGAAGAACTGGAGAGACAGGTAGCCTTAGAAGAACAGCAGTTGCACGAGGCTAAAGTTCGCAGCCTGGAGGATGCAGCCGCAGCCGCAGCAGCAGATTTTGAGGCCCTAGCAACAACAGAAACAAAGGAGGTTGAGCCACCAGCAGCAAGGGATGCAAAGCAGGTGGAGGCACCAGCAGCAAGGGATGCAAAGCAGGTTGAGGCACCAGCAGCAAGGGATGCAAAGCAGGTTGAGGCACCAGCAAGGGATGCAGAGCAGGTTGAGGCACCAGCAGCAAGGGATGCAAAGCAGGTTGAGGCACCAGCAGCAGCATGCGCAGATGCAAAGCAGGTTGAGTCACCAACAAGGGATGCAAAGCGGCCTCGCACTACATGCTGTGAAGCAAGCTCCACGCCTGGACCCAACCCGGTGCCTTCTGCTGACCCCGAAAGCTTAGCAAAGAATGCACTGCTTGGTGCACCGTCCTTGACTTCGGCTACAGGAAGCCTAGCTCAACATATCCCTACATTGTGCTTTGACTTTTGTAACCCGGACATAATGCTAAGCCCTCTATATGTCAACAATCCCAGGACCGGATTGCTTGGAGACATTGCCCTGGAACTTGGACATTGCCGGCCTCGAGGATGCCAACTTAGGGGAGCTGCCCCACCTGAGCAGCGAGGTTCCAGGAAAGCCAGTGCTTGGACGTCTGCCCGCAGCTGAGTGCTTGGAGACCGAGGATACCCCAACCGAATCTGAGAATGATGATATCCCAAGCCACTGCACCCTGCACTACGCTCCATCCGTGCCTGACTTTCAGACTGAATTGGTGCAGTGCATGTACATGTACACATGTTGTGCTTGACACTAAATATCTAAGGATGTGTCTGAGCATCCTGAAAGCGATCAGGAGCCCGTGGCCCCCAAGCCTGCGAAGCAGGAGGAGATGTTGCCTGCCTGCCCGGACACCTCCAAGCTTACACCATTGTCTCCGGCTGAGCAGACTCAGCTGTGTGGGGCAAAGGTTAAAAGCAAAGCCAAAGCCAAGCGCCCCAGGAAGGCAGTTGGTGATGATGACCAGGATCCGGAGCTCAGTGAAGCCAAGCCAGAGCTTAGTGAATCCGAGCCGGAGTGCAGTGAAGCCGAGCCAGTCTTCAAGCGACCCGCAGCCCGTGGCCGTGGACGTGGCCGTGGACGTGGCCGCACTCCCGGGGCCAAGGGGGGCGGCCGGGGACGGGGATGCAAGCGACCTGAATCCCCACCTCCCGATGATGATGGTGATGAGCCTTTGACGGATGATGCCTGTAGTGCCAACGAGGTGGAAGAGGAGGGGACCCGCAAGACAAGAGCGCCGAAAAGGAAGCCGGCACCGAAGGAAAAGGAGGAGGATGATGCACCAGCCCCCAAGACAAGGGGGCCAAAAAGGAAGCGAGCACCGCTCGAAAAGGAGCAGGAGGATGAGACCCCGTCCCCAAAAAGGAAGCCGGCACCGTCCAAGAACAGAACCTCGAAGCACCCAAGCAACCTTAAGCCCGAGCCGTCTGCAAGCAAGGCGAATGGAACAAGAAGCACCAAGGATGATGCCAAACCCAAAGCCAAATGCAAGAGCAAGTCAAACAAAGCCAAGCCATCGAACGCAGCAAGCGATGCAAAGCAGCTCGCAAAGGAGGCGAAGTCCAGGAAATCGGTTGCATACCACAGAGCATTTAAGGAGGCGAAGGAGCAAGGCAAGCCAGAAGAGGAGTGCAGACTGAAAGCCAAGCAGGTATTCGTGCATCATGCATATAGTGGTGCGATTTCTGTTACATGTGCATGTGTGCTAGTGTTACAGCAACGCCCTGTGCAGGCATACAAAGAGACATGCTGATTCGTATATGTGTGGAGCCGCCTATGGTGCATGGATGCACATGGCATCCTTTGGGTTTTGTTCGCTCGTGCAAGCTTTTAAGTTTGCCAAGTGCGACGGGGTATGTGTGGTGTCAGTAAGAACACCTGGGGTTCGTTCCGAGCCGGTGTGAACATCGTGCACGTTAGCTTCGCTCTGTCCGTGAGAAACAGCTTCTGCGACCAGCTTGCAATGCACTGTCAAGACACACGCTTTGCACCTGCCTGCAGACGCAAGCTTATAAGCCTGAAGCCTCCTCTCGACTCCTCCCAACCCCCACGTTGCCAGGATGCCTCGACCTCCAGCTGCCGATCGTATCCAAGGATGGCAAGTCCGAGCCTCCCGAGCAGGCTCGTGAGGTTTCTATGCTCCGAAGCATATTGGCTGGTCTTGTGATTGCAGCCTCTTTCATGTGAGACGAAGTTAGAGCCAGCTGTGTGAACCTCATGGGCAGCATATGGGTCGAGCTGTCCAGCCGTGGTGCTGCCTGTGTAGCTACCAAAGATGATGTAGGTAAGAACCCCTAAACCCTAAAGCCTATAGTGTGTATTGCATCCCTCCTGTCCCATATATGTCGATACTCTTGACTTATACAATGCCGGGTGCCATGGACTACAACTCACTGGTCGTTAATTTGGTGCAATTGCAAGCACCAAAGGTGACTGGGAAAGCAAACTAAGGCTAAGTAAGGACACAACAATATCAGTTATCTAGCTAATCTGCATTCCTTGATGAGCTCAGGTGTTCATTGCGACAGTACCATATCATGCAATTGAGTGTGTGTCTCTGTGTGTGTGTGTGTGTCCTTTCCGTTGCTGGTTGTACCCAACTACATGTGCTGATCTGTACATATAAGGTTCTCTTGCTCCGGTGGATGACAACGTTGT